AAGCTTGATAGTCCTTGTGTTTTTTGGATGCAAACCTGGCAGCCAGCGTCATGTTCTGAACGTGGTTTGGGAATTTCCAGCTGAGTGCTTGCCCTTAGAGAGTTCACAACCTCATGGGAGAAAACAATATTCAAAGTTTTTTTTTTAAAAAAAAAAACAAATTGGTAGATAATATACTACCAATATAATAATTGGTAGATAATATGCTACCTGTCGTAGCATAAAGTGAAAGGTAGTTGGCAGAGACCAGAAAAGGGATTAATTTTACCAGGAGACTTGGGGATGGGTCATCCTGGGTGTGGACCTGGAAAGAAAGTGGTACCCATAGCTGGGTAAGCCTCGCAGACAGTGAGAGGTACAGAAATACACCCGGAAGGGGAAAACAGATAAAAGAAAGGATGCTTCAGAGCGCACGATGCACTGTGCCACGCCTTGGAGACATAGAAACAAACCAGCAACACAAAAGCCTTGCTGAAAGGAGAATAACACTGACCCTGTGAGACATCATAGTCGGGAGCCGGCGGTCTTGGTTCAGCTACTTTCTGTGCTGTCCTGCTGTCTGCTAAGATGTCCTGGACTGATTGTTTACGTCTAGGGAGGGACAGTCAGAATAAGGTGTAGGCTGGTGACCTCCAGAAACTCCTCCCCTCCCACCCCCAAACCCCCAGTCCGTGCCCCCCCACCCGCTGCCTTTGCTAATGATGTAAAGATGTGTTACATTTGTTTAATTATGTAAATATGTTTAGAATTTGTTTACCTTGCCTGCCTAAGGCACCTGATTGATCCAATAAAAAGCTGAATGGCCAATAGCTAGTCAAGAGAGGGATAGGCAGGGCTGGTAGGCAAAGAGAATAAGTCGGTGGCCAAATCTAGACGTGAGAGAGAAGAAGAACAAAGAGAATGAGGGAGAAAGAGGGACTCCCAACACAGGGCCAAAAGCCAGGCCGCCACCAGCCAGCCAGTCATGGAAACAGCAAGAAAGTAAGACAGACAGACAGACAGACAGACAGACAGACAGACAGAAAGAAAGAAAGAAAGAAAGAAAGAAAGAAAGAAAGAAAGAAGGCAAAATTGTAGATTAAAGTGAAACTTATAAAAGCTGGCAAGAAACGAGCCCAAGCTAAGGCTAAGTGCTCAGAACTAGGGGATCTCCGTGTCATGACTTGGGAGCCGTGGCCCAAAAGAAAAAGCCTGGTCCACCTGAGCATTTCAACAAACATTAGCACAGGAGAAATGGCAGATTACACACTGTGGAAGTACAGGCCTACCTACTGGGCTGCTGGATAACCAGAGAAATGCAAATTGAAACACACAGCATGAAGATACCATGTTTTAAAAAAAAGATTTATTTATTTATTATGTACGCAACATTCTGCCTCCATGTATGCCCGCATGCCAGAGGAGGGCGCTAGATATTATTACAGATGGTTGTGAGCCACCATGTGGTTGCTGGGAATTGAACTCAGGACCTCTGGAAGAGCCGTCAGTGCTCTTAACCAATGAGCCATCTCTCCAGGCCCTGAAGATACCGTTTTTTACCTGTTGGTTTAACTAAAAATAAATAAGTCTTGTAGAACTAAATGTTGGAGGTGTCATGGGGAAACAGTATCAGGCTCTTGGTAGGCTGCCCAGCACCTGTACGAGTAGTTCTCTGATATCTAATAAGGGTTAGGGTTGCAATTACTCTAGTGCCCAACAAATCCATCCTAAAGAAATTTGCTCACGTGCCCGAGGGTTTATTATCCAAGGGAGTAAATTTAAATGCCCTTTACTACAGAACTGAACGTAACAGCATGGCTATATAGTGGAATACTGCATCTTTAAAGGAAATTAACTTTATTAGCAGATTTGCAGATTATTATACAAGTTAACTGTTAGCATTGCCTATCTTCCTTGTTGTTGGTGCTTTGGCCTCAAATCACTAACCAAGGATGACCTTGAGCTTTCCATCCTTTTGTCTACACCTCCTGAGACCTGGGGTTCAGATGTGTGACGCCATCCTGGTTTCTGCAGTTATGAGGAGGGAATCTGGGATCTCCTGGATGGCAAGCACACTTGTCGACTGAGCTACAGCCCCAGCTTTAGGGTAACTAATTTTTTTTTATCATGGATATAAATGACAAAGCACATCAGAGTTAATACGTGTGCACAAGTACATACACATGCGCCAGACAAAGTTATATGAGTCTGGAGGAAAAGCTAAGACTCAAGGACCACAAAAGCTCCTTCTGTGTGTGCTCCGCCGTCTTCCTTTGAAGACACAAACCTGCAGCAAATGTTGGAAAGAATGCTGAAAGCTCCTGCGATGGTTCATGTAGTTTCCAAGTTCTTAATACTGTCCTTCTGCTCTTTCTGCTCCATGGAACATAGTTTGTCACGCCTTCAGTCACTCTCTAAGGTGGGGGCTATTTTTCTTTCTGTGCCTGGAAGTAGCTACATAAAGGAAATACATGGCCAGGACATGAGCCAAGGTTGAGCCCACTCCCATAACCCCTGTCACAAACTCATCTCAGAAGAAAGAGATGAGGAGCTGGGGAAGTGCCAGACCCTCTCCAGCTTTGTGCGCGGTCACCTGAGACCTTTCACAAGTAGGTTGTTGGATATCATGACCTTTGTTATGACACACACACTCCCCCGGCTCATCCCTGCCCGCTCCCCTGTGGCGGTATCTTCTGCACACTGTAGACCAGCCACCATGCGCTAGTCCCAGCCATGCTCCAGATGTGGAGGGTGAGCAGCCAACTCCAGATGTGGAGGGTGACATGGACTGCACCTTCTAGTAACCTCAACCGAGGGAAGGCTTTGGCGCATTGCTTTCCCAGTGTTTTCTGAGTCTCCCTGAAAACAGAACTTCTGCTCGGTAAGATGCTCCCAAGCTGAAGTAAAAGGAAGATCAGACAATAGTTATTCTGAGGGTCATAATTTGGTTTTGTTATCTCAGGCGATCAAAGATTGTTTAACACCAGAAATAGCTGGCTGAGGCAGCTGCTCAAACAGGGCTTTGTGTGGGAGCTGAAGACGTTGCAGTGTTGTGACAGCTCCCCCAGAGCTCTGTAAGAACCCTTCTAAGGAAGTCCCTATTCTTGCTTCTTTCCCTCTCTCTGTTTCTTTCCCCATCCCTCTCTACCTCTTTCAACTCCCTGTCTCTTTTGTTCTTTTTTTGTTCAGATCATCCATCTTTTAATAATCTAAATGAACAAAGGGTGCACACAGGAGTATTGACTTGTGTCAATCAAGCTTGGACAACACTAGAAAATTTATGTAGACTTGAAAAATATAGCTATCCGCCGGGCGGTGGTGGCGCACGCCTTTAATCCCAGCACTCGGGAGGCAGAGGCAGACGGATCTCTGGGAGTTCGAGGCCAGCCTGGTCTACAAGAGCTAGTTCCAGGACAGGCTCTAAAGCTACAGAGAAACCCTGTCTCAAATATATATATATCCTATTTCTCTATCAAACACACGCTCAGGACTTACTGGCTTCCAATCAAAGTGCAGAACCCATGGGCCCTGCAGAATCCATTTTTCCCCAGCTGTCAGGGAACCCCCTGTGAGGAGGAAAAGAGGGGTGCAAGGCAAGATGTAGAGATGTTTTCCAATAAATGCAGCACCGCGGTGGGACCAGCACTGAGAGTCAAGGTAGAAAGAGGCATCATTAAATAATTAGGTCTGTCGTTCAAGATGGTGAGAGTCAGGATCAGGCAGCAGTGCTCCAAGTGGGGTGGAAACCTGGTCAGGGTCGCAGCTGGAGAGACAGCCCAGCGGTTAATGTCACACACTATGCTTGCAGAGGGCCTGGGTTCAGTCCCCGGCACCACCCACATCAGGTGGCTCACAACCTCCTGTAACTCCAGCTCCAGGAGAGCTGACACTTTCTTCTGGCCTGTAGACACTTGCACTCTCACGCACATGCACACACAGACACATAATACAAATAATCTTTTTTTTTAATCTGATCACTGTGACCAAGGTGTGAAAAGGCCTGGGATTCTGGTTGTCTCTGAACGTATGTATTTACTGGCTTGAGTGGCCAGCAGCACAGCTCAGTTTGCAATATTTTATTTGAATATATACTGCTTTGAATTTTCATGCAAAAAAGACTTAATTTCTCCAGACTTGGTCCATGTGAGTGGGTTTCCTGAAGTCCAGGTTGACTCTCTATTGTTGTCAGATACTTGATTACACTGTGTAATGATATCGTTATGATTGGTTTAATAAAGAGTAAATGGCCAATAGCTAGGCAGGAGGCAGAGGTGGGACTTCTGGACAGAGGGAACTCTGGGAAGAAGAAGGGCAGGGTCACCAGTCACAAGGAGAGGGAGCAGGATGGGGAGCAGGGCAAAGGTAACTGAGTCACATAAGAGAATGTAGATTTAAAAATTTGGGGTAATTTAAGCTGCAGGAGCTAATCAGAAAGAAGCCTAAGTAAGCTAAGGCCGGGCTTTCATAATTAATAAGTCTCCATGTGTTTTTTTTATTTTGTGTGCTGGCAGCCCTAAACGACAAGTCTGTCCACACTGTGTCAGATCACTGAGGATATACACATTCAAAGTTAGCTTTGTGCTACCGCGAATGTATGGCCTCGCCCTCCACCTTACTGATGGATCATTCCAGAGGTCTGAGCAGGCTCCCATGACCTCTAGCTATAGGGACAACGTCACAGATGGCCAAGAACTCCTATGTGAGAATCCGCCTCACACCTGCCCACTCTGAAACAGTGACTTTCTGTCTTTCTTTGCAGGTGCCCTGGGGATTCTCGCACCCTAAGGCTTTGTCTTGAGCGTAGTAGAAAGTTAGTAGTTTGAGCTGAGTTGTACTAAATTTTTCAACTCAAAAGAAAAGCTTGGCAGGTTAAAACACAGGTGGAGCATCCTGACACACCAAATCAGATGCTTATGCCTGCTTCCCCAGCTTAGTCAGAGGTATCTCAGGCCCAGCTCACGCTGATGACTTGGGATTCTGGCATGGAAATCCTGACTTGTTTCCCGCTTCTCCATCTCCAGGCCTCCTGGTGGGTACCCTTGATGTAGTGTTGGATTCCAGTGCCCGTGTCGCACCATACCGAATCCTGTACCAGACTCCAGATTCTCTCGTCTATTGGACCATCGCCTGCGGTAAGTCCCAGAGTTCTGGGCTGCAGATGCTTGCAGCTCGGAAGGAGCGTGCTTGCTGAATGCAATCGCGTGAGCGTAGGGCAGTGAACCTCGGTCGAGTCACCACCAAAGTGTTGTTGGCGGACTGTTGTAAAATTTCTCACTCTGTCTTGTGGGATCATGCAGCCTCCATCTCGAGTGGGCCACAGTTTGAGGGTCAGTTTACACGGGAGCAGAGTGCAGCCCAGCTGGGTTTCGCTTCCTCAGCCACAAGTGTCACACATGACGTCTATGCACACACTGGCTAGAACTTCTCAGAAAGGCCTCGCTAACTGTAAGGGAAGCTGGGAAATGAAGGGGAACATGGAGCTACTAAGAAGGGCTTACCTGGGGATCCTTCATGGTTCAGCCCGGAGCTGCTGCAAGTGAGGTTTTTATCTCCCCTGCTTGTAGCTGCAATGTCCTGTGCTTAGAACAGGAGCAAGCAACGCTGCTAGTGTTGACGGTCACAGAGTGGTCAAGACATCTACGGGCACTGTTTGCTTGTGGCCAGTTAAAAAGCCAGAGTGACCGTTTACTGTTTAGTTTTATGATTTAATTTTGCCCCCTTTTATTTTTTTTTTCATTAATAGGCTCTATTTTTAAAACACATTTATGTCGATAGGAAAATCGAACAGGTAGACCTCAAAGACCGTCCACCGCGTCCACCTCCCACCCCCGGTCCCACTATTAGTAGCGTCTTCCTACCGCCAGTGAGCCGGTATCGACAGACTAGTAAAAGGCCACGGCTTCTTCATAGTTCCCTAAACCGCCCGGTGTTTTCCTTTGTTTTCTGTTCTGAGGTCCTACCAATAAATCAGTCATATTATCTTGTCATAGCCTCTTAGGTTTGTCTTGGCTATGGAAGTTTCCCAGGATACCTAGCTTGGGATGGCTTTGACAGTTTATATATATATATATTTTTTTTTTGAAAGATTTTTTTCTCATTTTATATACCTATCCCAGTTCCCTCTACCTCCCCTCTTCCCACTTCCTCTACCTTTCACCCACCCCTCCATCCACTCAAAGAGGGTAAAGTTTCCCATGGGGAGTCAACAAAGTCTGACACATCACCTTGAGGCAGGACCAAGATCAGTGAGCTCCCACTAGCTCAGGTCAAGTGTTTCTGTGGGTAACTCCTTATATCGTCGTTCCTCCTTCTCTTTGACTGGACTCTGGGAACTCGGCCCAGTGCTTAGCTGTGGATCTCTGCATCCGCTTCCATTGGTTGTTGGATGAAGGTTCTATGATGACAGCTAAGATAGTCACCAATCTGATTATAGCGGAAGGCCAGTTCAGGCATCCTCTCCACTATTGCTTAGGTTGTTAGCTGGGGTCATCCTTGTGGATTCCTGGGAATTTCCCTAGTGCCAGGTTTCTTGCTAGCCCCATAATGGCTCCCTCAATCAAGATATCTCTTTTCCTTGCTCTCTATCTCTGTTCTTCCCCTATTTCATCCATCCTGTTCCCTCATGGTCTCCTCAGTGCTTCCCTTCTCTCCTCCCTCACCTTCTATGAACATGCACGTGGAATGGAACTTGGGTCCACAAAGCTGGGTTGTTTGTTAATTACCTGCTGAACCAAGGTGTAGGAAAGGCGGGCTCTAATTGCTGGTGGCATAATTTATACCCCCCAAAGGATACACCTTCATTTTTCTATTAAGCGGTGCCTGTCACCACTGCATGACCTCATTGTAGTGAACCCAGGATGCCTTAGTCTTTTATGTATATTGATTACCCATAGAGACAGCCCAGAATTTCCTTACAGAAGACTCCAAGGAAGTGACAGCCATTACAAAGTCCCATCCACCCCCAAATGACTCTTTCTTAACGATTTTCAATTTGTTCTAACTTGTGTTTGAAACCCGGCTTCCTAACTTTCAAAACGGAAGTCCTGACCCTGCAAGCATTTTTTTTCTTTGATATGCTGACTTTGCTGCTTGTGATTTTAGTATTAAACTGAAGAGTTGGTAATTGGTAGGAAAATATGTCAGAGGCTTTTAAATTTATGGGGTTTTCGCAAATTTTTGTAAAAGAAACTTGGAGAGAAAATTGGGTTCACTTCCTTGGAAAGTCATAAGCTACCAAAGCTTTGTCCTACACAGTGTTCTAAGTTATCCATGAGAGTGAACTGGATTAGGAGAGCATGACCATCCGTGTCTGCCTTTCATGTCTTGACATGGACTACTATCTGTAGACCAGCAGAACTCTCATCTGTAAACCCTGGGTGTATGATTTGCCTTAGATCTGAGACACTGAAAACTAGGCAAGGGAATTTTCTGGACCTGTGGATATGTGTGGCTTCCCGCTAACATGGCAATCATATGACCTGTAACAGTGTCGGCTGCATTGTTTGATAGATACCTCGCCTGTCACACAGCCCGGGACAGAGCCTTGGCTGGCTGCTCATTGATTCAGTCCAACATTTCTTTGCCCACCCAGAATCTCATCAGGGTCTTTTAAGCCATTGTCTTCAATGGACCCATCAATCGTCACCTTGTCAGCCATTATATTTTAGGAGGGTTAGGAGGGGTAGTGTTTGCATTCCCGGTTATAGCTGGCTATGTGGAGCTCAGCACTGGTTCTCACACCCCTGTGCTCTGTTCTGGCACCGTGCTGGCCTCGTGATTAGGCGTTCTTTTACTCAGTAGCTGTAAGACCCAGAGAATAACTAAACATTGCTGATCGTTCTGCTCCTGCTATTGCTACAGTAAACAAACAAAAAAAAAAGTCAGCTTAATTTTTCTTCCACACAAGATAGGCAACGTGGGAGTTGATAGGCGTTTTTAGAATCATTGTCTCAGTCTGTGTAGTTCAAAGACTATTCTCATATGTGTGCATGTGCATATGTGTATGAATTTTCATGTGTGTGTGGGTGCACGTGTGAGAGAATGTATATACGTGTGTAGGCATGAATGTGAGGGCCAGATAACAATGTAAGTTGTTGTTGTAGAATATTACTTCAATTATATAAGGATGTGTTGCTCTTATTTAGGCTGTATTTGTTTAGTTATGTAAAGGTGTGTTGCTGTTTCACCTTACCTGCCTAAGGCACCTGATTGGTCTAATAAAAAGCTTAATAATTGCCGGGCAGTAGTGGTGCACACCTTTAATCCCAGCACTCAGGAGGCAGAGGCAGGCTGATCTCTATGAGATTGAGGCCAACCTTGTCTACAGAGCGAGTTCCAGGACACATCCAAAGCTACAGAGAAACCCTGTCTCAAAAAAATAAGACAAACAAACAAACAAAAAAGCTTAATGGTCAGTAGTGAGGCTGTAGAGGGCTAGGTGGGTCTGGCAGTAAAAGAATAAGTGAGAAGAGAGAGAGAGAGAACAAGGGAGAAAGAGAGGAAGACACCCAGTCCCAGGCAGGCAAGCAGCTACCAGACAGACAGACAGACAGACAGACAGACAGACATGGAGTGGGATATAGAGGTAAAAGGCCCTGAGGTAAAATGTAGATGAAGAGAAACAGGATAAAATTAGTTAAAAAGCTGTTGGCAGAAGCTGCTCATTTGTTTCCCAGCTGCCCACACCAGAAATAATCACACAAACTGTATGATTACAACACTGCTTGGCTTACTAAGTTATGATTCTTATTGGCTAGCTCTTACATCTTAAAGTAACCCATTTCTATTCATCTGTGTATCACCATGTGGTTGTGACCCACCAATAAGGTTCCATTCTGCGCCTAGCGTTTGTCTCTTGCAGCGGCTACATGGCTTCTAACTGTCTTCACCTACTCTCTCGCTCCTCTCCTCTTGGAATTCCTGCCTTGCCCTATTCTGAACTACAATAGGCCCAAAACAGCTTCTTTATTAACCAATGGCATTCACAGCATTCAGAGGGGAATCCCACATCAAAGAGCTAGTGGGAGAAGCAGTCACAACTAATAGTAAGTCTCCATGTTATTATTTGGGAGCTGGCTGGTACCCCCGCCCCCCAAAAAAAGCTACTACAGACCACAGCAACTCTTATAAAAGAAACATTTAAATGAGGCTAGATTACAGTTTCAGAGGTTTAGTCCATTTATCATGGGGGCAAACATGGCAGCATGCAGGCAGACATGGCACTGGAGAAGGAGCTTGAGAGTTCTCCTTGATCTGAAGGCAGCGGCTGCAGGAGACTGGGACACCAGCCCTACCTTCAGCATACAGAAGACCCTAAAGCCTGCTTCCACAGCGACACACTCCCTTTAACAAGGTCACACCTCTCGGTAGTGCCGCTCCCTACGGGTGAAGCATTCAACATGAGTCCGTGGGGGTCATTCAAACCACCGCAGGCGTCTTTGCTCTTCTTTTATTTGATTAATTCTGAACATTGTATATTTGGAGACTAAATCACGTCAGACTCATTCAGCCTGCTCCACACCTGAAAACAGCACACGGCTGTTTTTAACCCTTAGAAGACTTAGTGGTCTTTGTGGTGAAGTTTGCAGACAAACGTTCTCTCTCAATCTTTTCCCCTCCTCCCCCCGAAAGTGAGAAAATTTCAGGGCAGCGCTGCAGTCTCAGGACCAAAGGCCAACATGGATTACTTGTCAATGCCACACAAGTGCTAACCACCAATCCCCGGGCCTTCCACCTCTGTTCACTCTCCGTCTTGACATTCCTGTCTTCTAACTTCGAGCACACCCCATGGTCTCGCAGGTGCCGTTTAGACCCGGTGAGTTTTCAGACCACAGTGGTTCAGTGTTTGCTATCATCATCACACATAGGATTGAAAATGTGCCCAGGCGCATGTGAGAAACCTACAGAAGCCAGTCTGTAAACCCTCTAAATGACAAGCTTCTCATTCTTCAGACAGTAGTAACTTGGAGGACATCAAACGTGAGCCTGGCTTTTTCCCAACGGAGCTTTCTGCCCTGCCTTTGGCTTCCGTTGTTTTCCCAGCTTAGTCCAGGTGGATCAGCTTGTTTTGATGGCTGTTTCAGTACACAGGACCTTTCTGGAAACTCAACAGCCTAGCCCTTTCTTTTGCTTC